ATAGATACGGTAAATAACTATTTAAAAAAAAATAATTATATTATCAATTTATGCAGATATTAGTACTTGTAAATATCAATTTAATGTAGAATGATGTTGATAAAAGTAGGTAAGTAATCACAATGGAAAAGATGTTCGCTCCAGAACTCAAAGAATTTTATCCAGTATACATTTTATCTAGACGGATGTTTAAATATATGCATCTATTTGTTAGAAAAGGCTGTAGGAAACTATAGTTTGTCTTTATCTAGAAATGTGGACGTTGTGCTGGTTCCTGTTGAAACAGTGTAGATTGACCCTGAGGAACTGGTACCCATCCACTTTCGGCCCCCTCTCAGTATACATTGAATATTGCCCGGCCACCCTTATAAAAAGTTTCTGGCTACGCCTCTGCTGATGAATCCGTGTTACTAGACCCCATCACTAGACACACTGCTTTATTTGTTTCTCCTCCCGTTTCACCTTCGGGTCTAAATGCGAACCAAAACAAGAAAGCTACAAGAACTGCATGGGTGAAGCGAAAACGGAAGCGGCCGGCAGTGAACGCTCTTGTCTTCTTCGGGTTGTTTATCCGCAACGGTCGCGAGCTCAGCAGCGTCTCCTCACGAGGACGGCCAGCCCAGTCCTGTCAGCGCGCGGCTGTGTGTTGTGGAAGATGGCGCTAGCCGAATGGAAATCCTAATGACAGTCTCAAAATTTGCTTCTTTTTGTACCATGGTAAGTGCACACCGGCCACTTCCTATTATTCTTAAGACTATCTAAACACCCAGAAGCAACAGCTATATCGATATTAGCCGTTTAAACCGCCGAAATAAAAATGGAATCAGGTAATGCTGGTGGTAGTGCTAGGCAAGCAGTATGTAGCCACCCACCGCCCTCTCCTCCGCACTCCCTTTATTGGTTAAAGGCTAAATGCGGACTTTTATGAGTTTACATTGTTTCTTAAATCGTGGTTTTGCCTCTTAATTAGGTCATTTTTGTCGAAACTTAATGTGCGGACAGCGACTGTGCACCTGCTGGCGCTGGGAATCGAAGCTAACCGGCTAATCTGTAGCTAAAATCAGTGTTTCTGCTGTCAACAACTGGAGCAGCTGGCTAATGGATGGCTTCAGGGAGACAGTTAGCCCACATTAGTAGAAGAGGAAAAGCTTAACATTAAAAATATCGTTTTTAACTAGTCTTTAGAGAACTAACAGATATTATTAAGGTGGGAAATTATGATATTGTTTAGCATTTGCGTTGTAGTTGTATGCTTTTCGTTCTGTGACTTGTTTCTGTGTTGTTATGACTATCGAGCCCCATTAGCTGATATAAAGCTTTATATTCTTTATATTGACTCTCACTGAAATCTCACGGATAATTTTTATTTATTATTTAATCAAAGCCCTCCTTGAGTGCAGAAGTGCCTTGTAAGACATTATGCAAGCTTCTAGTTTGGGAAATTAAAAGTATTATATTTGTAAAATTAGTCTTGAACCATCAGAATAAATTTTTTAACATACCTTTATTACGTTTTTCAACATATACAGTTAATAAATAAAACTAAATCAGGAAAACCTGTAACAATATGTTCAAAAAAGAATAATATAGAGTACAGATAGTACAGGTAAAAACAAAAACATGTAACAACATTAAAGCTCAGATTAATTAATCAATTAAAAGGATACATAAGCAGATATCCAGGCATTACAGTGTCACTATAATAATTGGTTGAATACACACTCAAGTATGGTCCCCTCCAGGAATCTTAGACCTGATAAGTCCATAGGCTTCTGTATAATCCGTGGACTCTCTATGTCAATGTAATCTAAGAACAGATCCCATGTTTTGTCATCAGAATAAATTTAATGTCAATTGTTTTTTTTTTTCTTTTAAAGCCAAGAATTGTGGAGAGTTTATCAAATTAACCCTTCTGTGTTGTTCATTTGACAGGGCGCCAATGCCTCTGCTCTGGAGAAAGAGATTGGATCTGAGCAGTTTCCGGTCAATGAGCACTACTTTGGCCTTGTAAATGTAAGTGAATAATGGAGTGTTTATTAGATCACCTCTCTTTTTATTAATGATTGTTTTAATTTTTGTGGCATTAAAATATTAGATATTATTGTAGGATTTTGGTGATTCAAAGACACTACTTGTGACTGAATCCAACAGTTCTCACCAGGATGTTTCGAAGTGACTTGGATGAATACAGTTCTGTTGCAAATATTAAATAAAGTGTTTATTTATAATGATTTGCTTCACATGGGACTGTTAGTAACTAAATGTCTGACATAAGCATCAATGTAAAAGAAGTAATTCAGCATAATATATGGATGAGCACCATCTTAAGGATACTTATCCATTCATTTTTTTAAAAGCTTTAAAATATTTGTTACAAAAATATTAAATGTCTGCATGCTATGAAGATTATAGGCTATAATAGTCATTAGCTTTGAAAAAATGTGGACCATGTAAGTTTTATTCCCCAGGAATTTTAGATATTTTAGGGCCAAGATGCAGCTTTGGCTTTTATACTTAATGCACCATATGATGTCTAAAAGAACGGCTATCATAAAGGCAAATGGCTCTAAGGTTTGTAAAATTATATTCTCACGATAAGGTTATCTGAATGGTATAGGAGGGATCTAGAGGGACAACATGACATTAGTTTGGTTCTCAGTAGCTGCGTTTGCAGGCAAAATTATTTAAATATTATGCTTATTTTGAAAATGCACATTTTGGGGTGTTTTACCTTAAATACGTAAAACAACAAAATTTGCAAGTGAATACACCTGTTCACGCAATAAGCCCTGAAAACCACTGGCAAAAGTGGATGCAAATATATGAGATATATCCTGTTTCAGCCACGGCTCTAGTGCTCATCACGAAATAAATGTAAAAAAAAAATACTCCTCATAAATCCAAATATACCATGCAATCACCCTCTGACAAATTCCAGTCTTTTTTTCAAGGCAGTAAGGGCGTGTTGCCAGTTGCGTGACTCATGAATGAATTTATTAATCGATTTACAATCAGATAGTTAAAGTTTCCTTAAAGAAGTTTTTTTTTTTTTTTACTTAATTAAACCAGGAGAAACTGAAACTTTTCCACTCGAGAAGTTCTGGATATGGCATATTGACAGACAAAAAAGTTTTTTTGTTTTTTTTTTACTTTAAATGCAAGGTGGGATGTTTTGTCAGGTAAAGACACATTTTAGAGTCTACATATTCCAGTTAACAATTAATCAATTGCTAAATGCGTTGACAATTATTTTAATAATCTATTAATCCGATTGTTTCAGCCTTATTTAGGACCCTTGGCCATGTCCTTACTTGTATCTCTTAGCCTGTTATCTAGTTCTGAATAACAAGGGAACAAAGAATAGGACATGAAGTATACATACTTGCATTCCATGTATCCTTTCCACAAAGAGATCAGTATTAGGATAAGTAGAAATAAATTATGAAAGGTATAACTCTGAATAGAAAAATAAAATGCTTGAAAAAACCTGGGTAAAACTGTGCCTACTTTTAGTGTTTGCACGCTTGTTTGTTTAGTCTGGTTTGTCTGCCACACCTCTGAAGGCCTAAAAACAACTACTACCATAAAGTTTTGCATTGCCGGAGATCTTTGGGGGAGTGGTTGCCTGGTGGTTAGGGCATAGAGCATGAAATCCTGAGGTTGTGAGTCCCACAGACTGCCACTCTTGGTCCCTGAGCAAAGACCCTTAACCCCACACTGCTCCCAAGGTGCCGCGTAATGGCAGCCCACTGCTCCCAAAGGCAATGGGTTACATGCAGAAGATGAATTTTGTTACGCTGTACTTGTGACAGTGTAATGACAATAAAATGATGAAAAAAGAACCATATCTTTTATAGTGAGACAAAAACATAAAAGATGCAAACCAGGAACTGAGCTGCTGTGAGCTCCATGTTTATAATTCCAAAGTTATTAATATCAGTCATTTATGGCTTAATCAAGATTCTAGTATTATGGGAAACCAGGGTAGAAAAAGTGCTAAAGTAACCAAAGGTGTTTTCTCTTACTGTAAAAAGCTTAAATTTAGTGCATCAACCCCTAGAAAGATTGACACATACCAGTCATCTTGCTGAAATGAATATGCTTCAATTTACAATAAATACTATTTTTAGTAACCAAAAAGAAGTGCAAATTTAATGCAAGCACTAAATAAGTCCCACCTGTTGTTCTTATTAAGCTAATGTCTGTTAGGTAGTTAATTAAAGCAGACATCTAAGTGGTTAACCATCAATGTATACCAGGGGGATATATTTGTGTTACTAAAAAGAGAATAAGATCAAACAGCTGATGCATGCATGTGTTCATTGATTCATTAAAGTATTCAGCAGTGATGCATTGAGATCATCAGTAAACCATGCATTGCTTTTCCATCCATCTGCTATCCATTGTTAATGTCCATTTTGTTAATATGTAATTTCTGTTTAAACTGAGACTTGTGTAATATTTATTATCAGCTGAACTTCTAATTTCTACTCTAGGCAATCATAGTGCTGCAGTCTGACACCATGCTTAGTATTTTTATCTAAGACATAAAAAAATATTGATTCAGAGTCGTAACCTTAAAATGATTAATTCTTCTTTAAGTTAAGAAGAGGTTGAATTGTTTTTTTTTTTCTCCAGACTATAAACTGTAAAATATTAGATGATTATAGTTTTGGAAAAACATCACCTTATATCTTATTTTCCATCACCTAAAAATATCTGCTGTTGAATTTTTAGAAACCTTTTTGTTTGCAAACATTGCTAGCAGGTCAGAAAACCTGTGAAACTGCAGTCTAAATAGGCACTCATTTCTCATATGAAATCATTTTTGGGAAATATGAACCCTGTTGGAAGTTGTTTCCATCTTGATGGAGTGCAGCGTCTGCAGCGCTTTATTTTTTAACACATAATTAATTACATGTAGAGGGTTTCTATGCAGGCTTCTAAAGTTGACGTATGAAAAAATAAAAACAATTTACTGTGTGGGCTGTTTACAATGAGCCACATCATAGACTTGAGAGTAGGTTAAAATTTGAAATCGTACCTTTACATTTACTAGGCCTGCAACTAACAATAAATTTGCAAATCGATTAATCTGTCGATTATTTTTTCGTTGAAACAATTAATAATCAGATAGCAAAAGCGTTCTTAAAGAAGATTTTTTGTGATTTTAAACTAGCTGAAACAAACTTTTGACAGATGGGAAAGTTATTTTCGCATAACTGCAACATTTTTATATATTTTTACAATTTTGATTTAGTTACTGCATTAAGTTGGTCGTTTTGTCAACTAAAGGCAGATTTTACCGTCTCTATATTCCAGTTAACAATTAATCGATTACTAAATTAGTTGACGATCATTTCAATAATTAATTAATCATGATTAATCTGATTGATTCAGCCCTTTTATTTACACATACACAATGAGTCAGAAACATAAAAAAGTTGATTTCATAGATTCCTTTTTAAGTGACTCACTGAACCCAAGATTCTTGTGTTTTCACAATTTTTAATTGATTTTGGCCAAATACAAAAATCACTGTGAAATTGCATTAAATGCACACATTGAAGCTAATGGAGGAAGGTTATCATGTGGTTGTGTGATAAAATAGCATTGGAGAGAAAAAAAGGAAAGACATAGACGATGGTGAGACCAGCAGTGTTGTTTGGTTTAGACACAGTGGCAGTGAGGAAGAGACAGGAGGCAGAGATGAAGATGTTGGGGTAGGGAATGATTACGTCAGATGGTCAGCTCATGTCAGATGTTTTTGGAGATACACCTAGAGAGGGCAGGCTAGTATGAAGTAAATTATGTACCATTATTGTTGCAAGCAAAGAGCACTTTTATAAATTAAAAACAATGCAATCTAGAAATGAAATGAAAAAAAAGAAGAAAAAAAAATCATCTTAATCCAGTTTTTGAGAGCGACTTTGCTATTTTCAGATTTAATTTTTTCAAATTTTCTTTTTCCGTTTCAAATTTTCTCATTTTCAATCTTTATTTTTGCTACAGGTTTGATATTTTCAAATGTTATTTTTTCAAATCTTTCGTTTTCAGATTGAGGTTCAAGAATTGCTTTCTTGTCTAATTGTGTATACAGAACACCTTCTCCTTTGTGAAGCCCAATAAAAACGCTCACTCTTGACATGCACATTGACCAATGTTGACCCATGTAAGACGTGTAAATGTGATGAATAGATGGGTAGCAGGGTGCTGAAGCTGGAACTGACCAAGGAGGAGATTTGTGGATGGAGTCAAAGAGGTCATGAAGGTAGTTGGCTGATAGAAGATGCAGAAGGCAAAATGAGATGGAGACAGATGATCCCTGAAAGGAAGAAGGCAGGGGAGTGGCGACCTAGTGGTTAGGGTATTGCGCTTGGATTCCTGAGGTTTTGGGTTTGAGTCCCACTCCCACAGACGGCCACTCTGTGTCTCTGAGCAAGACTCTTAACCCATCACTGCTCCCTGGGCGCCCCACGATGGCAGCCCACTGCTCCCCAAGGGGATGGGTTAAATGCAGAGGTAAATTTCTCCAATCGGAAATCAATAAAAAGTTTAATTATTATTATAGATGAAGAAGATTGGTATATCAGAAAGCAGCTTTGGTACTTTGGTTTTCATGATTTTCCAATTATTAGAGAACATCCAACTCCTTCCCTGAGAACTCACTCTGCTAAAAACCTAAAGTCAGACTGATATTCTTGTTCACTTGTTAGTTTTTTGTGATATTGTTTGCTGAATCTGTAAATTTCGTTGCAGCAAATATTAGCCTACATCAAGCCAAGTTCTCTGACCGACAAAATAGTCTGTGAAGTTTGAGATGTTGTACATTTTTACATCAGTGTCATGAAGGGAAAATAATTTTCATCTTCAGTTAGCTTAAAGCTAACAGTGCTGTATTACGATGAATAATGGTAGTCCTTCCCATTTCCCCGCTATAGGACAATGTGTTGAGTATCGGGGTTAGGTGTTTGCCTACACTTTTAATTTGAAAGAATATTGAAGCGTTACATTTGGTGAAAGGTTGAATGAGGCCCTCTTGAGTTGCCTGGTTGGCGTCTAGTTGGAGGAGTGGGCGAAGCGCCAATAAGAAAGATCAGGCTGGTGATGCTAGTACTAACTTACTTTTGTCTTTGCAGTTTAGCCTATTGTTGTATTCTTTACTGAAATGTGTCCGTTTTTTTGTGCACATTTCTGTGCATATCAGCTGCTGCACTGTTGCTTTTATGCTGATTGGTTGAGAGATCAGATCTTCTTGGGCTCATCTAAGATTCATACATATATTTGCATTTTAAAACATTTTTTTTGGAGGGGTAAGTTGAGGAAAATAATTACTACCACTTTCAGGAGACAGGATAGATTGTGCAGGCCCAAATGATATCTATATTGTTCATTTTCTTATTTTAAAGGACAGGTGGGGGGGATTATGTCATCTCTCTGTGATTGATGTGATTTGTGTTTTTTTTCGGCTGAACTCTGCATAGCTAATCACATAATTTCCCTTTTTAATTTATTTTTTAGTTTGGGAACACCTGCTACTGCAACTCGGTGCTGCAGGCTCTGTACTTCTGCCGGCCGTTTCGGGAGAAGATTTTAGCGTACCGCAGTCAGCCTCGGAGGAAGGAGAACCTGCTCACCTGCCTGGCTGACCTGTTCCACAGTATTGCCAACCAGAAGAGGAAAGTTGGGGTCATACCCCCCAAAAAGTTTATCACAAGGCTACGCAAAGAGAATGGTGAGTGGGAAAGAAAGTAAATAATAAGAGTAGCTGCCTTCAATACTGCCTTGTGTCTTTGTCTGTTTATTAAAGATCTAGAACATCTCTTACTTCTGGCTGAACATGCAGCAGTTCTGATGTTTCTGTTCTCCTCCTCCCTCAGAGCTCTTCGACAACTACATGCAGCAGGATGCCCATGAGTTCCTCAACTACCTGCTAAACACCATCGCAGATCTGCTGCAGGAGGAGAGGAAGCAGGAGAAGTCAAACGGCCGTCTTGCCAACGGCACATTGGACTCCCAGAACAACAACAGCAACGCCACACCTGCTCCAACATGGGTCCACGAGATCTTCCAAGGCACTCTGACCAATGAGACGCGTTGTTTAACCTGTGAAACGGTGAGAACCCCAACATGTTTTCACTTCATTTGAAGGCTCCTTTAGATATTATGTCAAACTTTCTTTTTTTCTTTTTCACTGCAGATAAGCAGCAAAGATGAAGACTTTCTTGACCTTTCTGTGGACGTAGAACAGAATACCTCCATCACACACTGCCTCAGGTAAATCCACGCCGCTTTTAGCACGGGGTGATTTATTGAGGAGTTGAAGGGTGCCTTCTACTCCTGAGTTTTTAGGGATTGTAAATAAAGCAGTTTAGTTATCAAGCTTCATTTGAAAAAGTAATACAGCAGGAATTTTTATATTTGTCAGCGTAACGAAGGGGGTGGAACGCCAAACACTACCTTTTTATTTAAGTTGCAAGGACTGTTGGTTCCGCGCACTTCTGTTTATACGCCTCCCATCCTGGGTAGAGGAGTTTAATCTGCAGTTTCCTCCAACGCACCAAGAAATAAATCAATATTTTATTTTAATGAATCAGCTTGAATGCCCTGCTCTAAGCAAGATGAGACCACGGTTAACCTTGCTGTTTCTTTCCAGAGACAGAGCATACGTCAAGTGCTGAGCATTTAATGTTTAGAGCAGCTTTTTGCAAAAGCTTCATCCGATCCAAATCCTATTTTGATAGACAAGAACAGATTTTATCCATAGATAGATTGGTATGCAAGTATGTGTGTGTGGAGTATCATAGAAATAGGTGATTTGTGCATTATATCTTAAAGGTCTCCCAAAATTGCTGTCCTGTCCGTTGAACCTCACACAGACTTTGATAGTGACTGACAGAAAAACACTCAGGATCTTTGTTCACAGAACAAAGATCCTGAGTGGAGGGTGATGTTTTTTTTTTTGCCATGTTATTATCAATCTGTTAAGTTGTTTTTCCTCTTTCTTTTTTACTCCTATTTGGTTGAAATCATATCTCTTCAGACTGTTAAACATTCATATGAGGTATTTGTGATAGTATTTGATAATAAAAAAAATGCTTAAAGATAACATGCAGATCTGTGGAAGGGGTTTTAGCCTAGAAAAAAAAAACAATACATTTAGTTTGTTTATTTCACTGTTTACTCACAGGGTATGAATAATTTTGATGTTGTATTTAATAATCTGGGAGCTGTGAAGTGGGATCCAAGCCTCACTTGGAAATCTAAACTTATCCATCATCTTTTTCACCTTTTTCATTCTCTATAGAATAAGCAGTCAAACATTCTGTTTATTTTTTTTATTTAGTTTTATTTTATGAACTCAGCTGAACATTTTACACAGCTTTTAACAGAAATAATGCTGAATTTACCATCACTTTCTTTGAGGCTGCAAAACCTTGGCAACACAGCTTTAGTTTTACTTGAAATTCAGATATTTGCTTTATTTTTGACAGCTTTTGTGCATAATTTCAAAAAGTTCCCTTTAAATACTATTTTCTGCATCAGGTGTCCATTGAAATATTTATATCCTATCGTTTTTTTTATCCGCCATTTTATGTGGTGAACAATACTGTTGTTTCTGATTTTAAGAGTTAAAAGAACAAGAAAAGTAGTTTTCTGCAAACAGTTGGCTGAATTGCTCGTTTATTACTTATAATTATTCTTACAGAGCTAATATTGGCATAAGTTTGAGCAGTTTGGAGCTTCTGTTTTATACCTTTGCAAAGTTTAAAGAGATTTTAGATCCACTTAAGCTGATACCAGCTAAAGAGAGAATGTGGGATTATGTTTTTGCAAATGTAGACCTCAGAGTAAACTTTTTGTCATCCGTTTTCTTTTAGAGGGTTCAGCAACACGGAGACCCTGTGCAGCGAGTACAAATACTACTGTGAGGAATGTAGAAGCAAGCAGGAGGCACACAAGAGGTCAGTGCACCATTTCCTTTTACATTCTGTCCACAGACTCTGATGGGTCTTACTGGCACATCCATCTTTGGATGTGTAAAGCTGGTGTTGGATGCTATAAAAAGCTGCAGCTAAAGATTTTTCTAAATATGAAAGCACTACCTTCTATCTTCTTTTCCTTTTCTATTTGATGTCTATAAAAATACATTTGCAGATTCCGGTTATATTGTGAAAGACGCAGCATGTTGGAGTTTTCATTTTCACTTATTTTCCTGTATCTCCAACCCTTAAGGATGCGTGTAAAGAAGCTGCCAATGATCCTGGCTCTGCACCTGAAGCGCTTTAAGTACATGGAGCAGCTCCAGCGATATACCAAGCTGTCCTATCGCGTTGTCTTCCCCCTGGAGCTGCGTCTCTTCAACACCTCCGGAGACGCCACCAATCCTGAGAGGTTATACGACCTGGTTGCTGTGGTGGTGCATTGTGGGAGGCGAGTATATGAACACGCAGTCTGTGTTTATTTAAGGTGTTTCCCACTCGCTTTTCAGTACTTGCATGCTGAAAACAGATTCCAGCTCTGCAGGTTACCAAAAAGAAGAATAAAGGGAAAGTAGATTAAAAAGCTGTACTTGTTAAGAGCAGAACATGTTCCCTGTAAGACAGTCAGCTGAATTAATGAGCATCAGGCTGCTTCAGGGTGAAATATTTTCGACATCCATCTGCATGTAAATGGGATTAGATAGAGGGATAGATATAAATACTTTAAGGTGCATGAAAGGCAGATATCAACATCCTCCAAACTGATACAGTAATATGGAAGGAGCTGGAGGGAAAAAAGAAAAAAGCCTGGCTCAATAAAACTATTTTTATGATGAAGTTTTAAATAATGAATTGAAATATACAGAAGATATAAAAAAAATGCTAAAAAGACAAAAAATAGTTACTGATGTGTAATTTATTTTTAACACCTTGCATTGTAACAGTTATGTATATAAAATAAGGAAAATAAGTTTGGAAATGTATGAAACTAATTTGTAACTTTGTCGTCTTAAAAGAAATGTTACTGTTTGTTTTCAGCGGTCCAAACAGGGGTCACTATATCGCCATTGTAAAAAGTCATGACTTCTGGTTGCTCTTTGATGATGATATTGTAGAGGTAAGCAGTTGTTGTTGTTTTGTTTTTAAACAATTTCAGGAAGTATTTGTTTGTTCGTCCTTTTTTTTTCACACTACCCGAGTCGATTGTCTTTTGTTTTCTCCTCCTAGAAAATCGACGCCCAGGCTATAGAGGAATTCTACGGTCTCACCTCTGAAATCTCCAAGAACTCAGAGTCGGGCTACATCCTCTTTTACCAGTCCAGAGACTAAATGGGGAGCTGAGCGCTTTGCCACATTTTCCCAGAGAGACTCTGTCCTCTAACTCTGTGGGGGAAGCAGCAGATTGTAATCTCGCACGGCGTCATACCTGCCTGCACAGCTGTAACTCATAACTGTGCTTTTACGCAGCTCGGCCGTGGTCGTTCCCTCTACTTACCAGCTGACTCTGACGGCTTCCATGTCCTTCCCGCCCCCTCCATCATCCGCCGCTGCTGCTGCCAGGACTGAGAGGGACGATAAATCAAATTGTGTCGATTGTTTTTAAAGGACTGAGGGTTGTATAGATATTGACTGGCTGTATGAGTGCTGTTCTAGTTTTTGCCTCGGGTGTGGGATGAGTGGGTATTTAATTCATAAGATGTAATATCGGCCTGGAGTCTTCACCTCCCACATTGTTAACCTAAACTGTGACGGAAGTTGTTTTATTTCTTTTATTTTTTTTCTTTGGTCATGGATGTAACAGAGGATGGACAGGAGATGGGTGCCCCATTAACAGGGTGCAATGGACTGTGTATTTTAGTGTACAGAATGGTATTTGTATAAATATTTCATTAAGATATTATCATTGGAAAACGTTAGACTTGGAGAAGATGTATTAACACTATGGTGCACTTTTGATACCGTTTTGTAGGTGTTGGCAAGCTTGATGTGAGAGGGGTTGCTTGGAAAGGCCTGTTGTGAAGCGATCATTTTCTGTTTTAAAGAAAAAGAAATAAAGACAATAAGATCGAGGGGACAGTCTGCTTCACTTTCTTGTGTCCCACAGGTGATGACTCACGGGGAGGCTCAGCATGGACATCTAGTGTATTCTTTTGGTACTGCAGCCTTATTTTATTCCATCAGGAGTTCTTTTATAATCCATTCACAGCCAGTAAGGAACAGGGTAAAAATGACACACAGACATCTCAGTAATGTAGAAAACCACTGCTTATTTATTCTGTTCAAGTGATTCTTGTGTATTATTTTACATTTCCCTGATTATGAGTACTGAACCCCACCATGCACAGAAAAATTAGACAGTTGCATGAGACCAATCAAGGGAAAATTGGAAAGTGATTTATTTATGGCCTAAACTATCAGAGCAAATGGTGAGCAGTTGTGAAAATAATGAGGCTGACTGCTTAGTGTTTTAATGGAAAGTTCAGTGAAAAGAGTGTTTGAAAAGTACACGGCAGGGTAAGAGCAGCCTCAAGGATAGTTTAGGGCTCAATTAAAATGTTACAAAGGGATGCATAATCAGATTGTTGCTGTGATTGGTGCTTTGAGATCCACCATGCTGACTCGGGAAGTTTCCAAATCATAGGCTAAAGGTAAATTTAGAAGAATAGGTGAAAAACAGTCCAACATGATTATCTGGTTTGTTACCATAGTGATTAATTGGGAGCCAAGTTTCCATCTGATGTTGAGTCTTCTATCAAATAATGCACATTTTAGAGCATTTCATGTTAGTGAGTTTTACAAAAAGACTTGAAGCTCTTTACCATCCCCTGACCTAAACCCCATAGGTCATCACTAAGAAGATTGGCAAGGGCGGTTCAAGATGGCCCCTAACATGATACAAAACAAGTGTGTAATTAAAATATGCACTGGCAAGCAAACCATAATTGTTTTGTTCCTCAGAATTATTTCATTATTCATATATATATTTACTTATACGTTTTCATTTTAATAATGATACATTTAAGTTGTTCCACTTTTAGTTTCTGTTATATGCAGACAGGCTTAACTTTTTTAGCTGCTAAATCTTATTATCCATTGGTGCAGGTGGTTCTTTTGCTCAATCATTACTTTCTAACAATGAACTATTGCCCTGTGTTTATTTTTTTTGTGTTTTTTTTTTTCATTTTCTTTGTTTAGTGCCCCTATAAAAAAAAAATAAAAATGGCTCCATCTTGCCCCCAGGTAGATATGGTCTAGAACCGCCACTGAGGATGAGAGCCACTCTTCATCAGGGTGATGACCTTCATCCCATGTTGCATTAGTCCTTAAACCATAAAGTAAATGGATATTTCTACAGTAAGCTAACATTTCTCTATTAATGTTTGTTGGTACTGCGTAATGGTTACATCTACAGGTCCTTCTCAAAATATTAGCATTTTCCATAATGTAATGATAAAACTTGAGCATTTATATATTTTAGATTCATTGCACACTAACTGATCAGTTCTTTTATTATCTTAATACGGATGATTTTGGCATACAGCTCATGAAAACCCAAAATTTCTATCTCACAAAATTAGCATGTTTCATCCGACAAATAAAAGAAAAGTGTTCTTAATACAAAAAAAAGTAAACCTTCAAATAGTTATGTACCGTTATGCACTCAATACTTGGTCGGGAATCCTTTTGCAGAAATGACTGCTTCAGTGCGGCGTGGCATGGAGGCAATCAGCCTGTGGCACTGCTGAGGTGTTATGGAGGCCCAGGATGCTTCCATAGTGGCCTATAACTGATCCACAGTGTTGAGCACAGTGATACCAATGGTCAGTAAACCATTTAGCAGTGGTTTTGGCACTGTGAGCAGGTGCCAGGTCGTGATGAAAAATGAAATCTTCTTATCCATTTAGCTTTTCAGCAGATGAAAGCATGAAAAGCTCCAAAATCCCCTGATAGCTGCATTGACCCTTCCCTTGATAAAACACAGTGGACCAACACCAGCAGCTGACTTGGCACCCCAGACCATCACTGACTGTGGGTACTTGACACTGGACTTCTAGCATTTCCTTCTCCCCGGTTTTCCTCCAGACTCTGGCACCTTGATTTCCAAATGACATGCAAAGCTGAGCAACAGTCCAGTGCTGCTTCTCTGTAGCCCAGTTCAGGCACCTCTGCTGCTGTTTCTGGTTCAAAAGTGGCTTGACCTGCACACACCTGGGCACGGTGGCTCTGGATGTTTCTACTCCAGACTCAGTCCACTGCTTCCGCAGGTCCCCCAAGGTCTGGAATCGACCCTTCTCCAGAATCTTCCTCAGGGTCCGGTCACCTCTTCTCGTTGTGCAGCGTTTTGTGCCACACTTTTTCCTTCCCACTGACTTCCCACTGAGGTGCCTTGATGCAGCACTCTGGGAGCAGCCCATTGGTTTAGAAATATCTTTCTGTGTCATCCCCTGTTGCTTCAGGGTGTCAATGATGGCCTTCTGGGCAGCAGGCAGGTCGGCAGTCTTACCCATGATTGGGGTTTTGAGTGATAAACCAGGCTGGGAGTTTTAAAGGCCTCAGGAATCTTTTGCAGGTGTTTAGAGTTAATTTGTTCTTTTTCATGATATTTCAGTTAGTGTGCAATGAATCTAAAATATATGAATGTTCAAGTTTTATCATGACATTATGGAAAATAATGAACTTTATCACAATATGCTAATATTTTGAGAATGACCTGTATATAACCAATTGACTATTTTTGAATTAAATCACATCACTGAAATGCACCTGCATTGTTTTGAATATGGACAGCCCACCTGCCTGCTAAGGTGAGCTGCAGGCAGCAGAATATGGAGGGGGAGGCTTTTGGTTGCATGCACACCAGGACTGCTGTTACAAAATAATGCAACCATTTTTGGCATTTATTTAATCACATTTAATTACTTTGACATAATTGTTTCATGTTACCAGGGTGGGACATAAAACAATTCCCTCAGCAAAAAGTAGTTTATTCAGGTATACCTAAAGTTAACTAATTTCATACTTAAAATCAGGCAGTGCACTTAGAGTTTACTTATTCTAAACTATATTACATATACTTAAAAATAGTATAGTCAAGTGTACTTGACTATACTATTGTTTACTTTATTGTTTACTAAAGTATACTTTAAGTATACTTTAGTAAACTTAAAAATGTCCCAATTTAGTTCGAATAAGTATTATTTTAGTAATACTTCAAGTACACTAAAAGTGCATTGTTTGGTATACTATCTAAACTTATACTTATACTTAAGCATTCTTAATAGAATTTACTTCAAGTATACTACTTTCTGCAATGCGTTAAAGTAAATAAAGATGATTGATTAAATGCAAAAAGAAGAAGAGGTTGCATGATTTTTTTCAGTGTAATAGCAGGAGGAAAGAGAATTTCTGCATTCATGTCAGGAAAGCCAAGCATCTTGTTCCAGAATAAATTCAATTAGATAAAATTCCCCTATAGAAGCGTGTTAATTTGCTTTTATCTCTGCATGAAACGTGTTTTAAAACATGCACGCATGCGTAAATGGGTGTTAATAAGGCGCGAAGCAGTAATTATAGGAGTTGAACTAGTCTCCGGCCCTTCATGGACTCCTCCTTCCTCCTCATCATCATCATCATCATCACCACCACCCTCTCCTTTCTTCTCACTCACCTCCTGTTCCTCCCTGCTGCTGCTGCTCCTTTCCCGCACATCAACAGTCCACGGCCCCACCAGCCGCTGCTGCGCTCCTCTCTCCCTTTTTTCTCTTCTTCCATGATCTCCATCCCTCTTCCTCCCCCTTCCCCGGGCTGCGTCTCTGCCCGCCGGCGCTGCATCATCTGCATCCCTAACATGGGAGAACAAAGCTGTCCTTCTTCCATCTAGACGCGGAAAGTCGCACCTCACAGAGCCAAGGTAGGCTGGATGGATGAATGCATGGAGGGAAACCACTGAAGGATCATCCTCTGCATGGATGGAAAGATTTATTTTTTCCCCTTTTCTTCACTGTCTCTGTTGTGGAGGGAGATATAATGTAGGATATGTATTTTATCCAAAGCAAGGTGCGCAGGGGCGCATGCAGGGTTTCCATGACGGGTGCGGTATGTTCTCTGGCTGCTTGTGAAATCAGCTATAGATGTCTGTCAGCATTTACTATTACCAGATGAAAATGCAAAGCATTGATTTTTTTAGTTATTGTCCCATTTTATAAACTGCACCCTTCAGTGTAATAGACCTCTGTTAGAATAACTTTTACAATCAATCTGACATATGTCCCCACTGCAGCCCTACAAGCCTGTCTCTTACAGTAATTGTTTTTGCTGTTATTTTTATTTTTTTTAAGAGCAATGACAGGAAATCTGCTAAATTTCCAATAATTAACACGAATGCTCTATGCTTTAATCTTTGAAGTCCAGAGAACACCCAGTACCACATGCAGAAAACCCTGACTGCCCCAGCAATGAGTGAATATTAAAAACAAATCCATAAATAAAAGCTTAAACTAATAGTTGGGCTCATGCGATCGAGCACAAGGACAATACCCATTTGTTTGATTGACTATAAACAAAAACGTTAGAGACAAAACCAGGCAAAAAGGACTTACTGTATTAATAATTCTTCACAGTGGCTGTATGGGCAACCACTCAGGGAGCCATACTTTAAGGGGCGGCACAAGCGCTCAAAAAAAAAAAAACCCAGACTATATGATCTTGGACGATCTGTGTCCTGAACAATTTTTGTATTGCTATTTGCATGTCATTGAAATGAGGTGTCTAGTGTAAAAAAACAATAAACACTGTAGCTAACTAATGATACAGATTCAAAGCTTCTGAAACTCACAAAATAGATGTATTCATTATGAATAGAATAGAATCGAATAGAAAAGAAAATCCATTTATGGTCCAACAATGGAGAAATTCTGGTGTTTACAGCAGCGAAAAGATGCTCACACAAATGTGGAATAACATAATAGTGAAGAGTTGAAAATATAAACAATAAAATGCTATAGAATATAAAAATATCCTATAAATATAAACAATAAAATACTGTACTGTAAAGTGTTTTAGCAATATAAAAACCGTGTACCTGGAGAATAATTAACCAATATCCAGCTATGGAGATTTTTTTTTTTACAGTAATGGATATTTGAAAATAGCAGCAACATCAGAGATGTGCAAAATTATAGCAGCATGTTGATTAAGGTAGAAACTGTTTAAATTAGCATGAATGTAGCAACTAATGGAGGTTGTTGGGAACAGTGGTGGTTATAGAGGTCGTTATGCTTCTCAGTGGCTGCTATATGTACTGGTAATGTGGCGCCAGGTGTATTGTGATGTTAATTATCCTCACCTAGCCTGACTCGTGAGCAAGATTAATTGACGTGAGATGTGTGTATTCACAAACCCAGGAAAAAAAAACATCTTTACAGAATCCAACAGATGTATTAGCCTTGAATATAGAAATGTCTCTAACCATTGAAATGCAGTGACGTGTATGACGTCAACCACAGGCTGCAGCAAAACAAACATGGCTGCTATGATGAGCATATCTGTAGACCCTCTATTTATCTTTTGAAAAATGAGCAAAAGGACTTGTGCATTTGTGGATTGGAAAGATTTTTGCCTGTTCCTCCTGATCAGATTTAGTCAGAGTTTAATTTATTAGTTAACCTTGCTGTTGTAAAACAAATTAAGAATGTGAAACATCACAGCTGGTACTGCTACTGTGATTGGCTTAAACATGGGAGGGAGGTGACACATGGAGATTTACCCAATCAGCTTAAAGAATTGAACTGAATGTTCCTCCCTTTTGCGAACATTTTCCACAGGAGACTTTCCAGATGGATACTGTGTAGAATTCAAATCGAACAACACCGATTGATCTGTTTTTTGCCAGGTTAGTTCCTCACTGCCCGAGGAGGAAAACATTTTTAAGAAATAATATTTTAGCACTAACAAACATTGATTAAATGATTGATAGACTTTATTGATCTTAGGTGGAGAAATGTACTTGTACCCAAGAGAAATTTCCCTATAGTGTAAACCTGAGTTCCATTTGTTAAACAATGAATATAAAACTACCACCTTATGTAAAAATAATAAAATATCAAAAAACATTAAACCTGATCTTGTGTCCCAATCTTAAAGTATCTTTTATTAGCATAGGCATCATAGGCATAATATTCATAAAACATAAAAACACAAAAGCATAACATTCAGAAAGCTATTAAATTATTTAATTAATATTATTAGAAATAGCTGACAATGAAACAAAATAAACAACTTTTTTTTTTGTTTCAAATTCGAATTATGTAAAGATGATCTTTAGATAAAAAACAATAGATGAGCGGATATTGATGCACATTTTGTTGTTGTCATCACAGAGTAAATAGTTAACAGGTAGTGAAAGTGCTGTTGGATATAGAGACTCAAATAGGTTCTATATATAGTCTGTAGATGGATTTATATTGAATGAAGACAGAGTGCTTTAGCAAGCATTACAATTCACTTCAACTTCATGTGAAAGTAGTGGAATAGATAGCTGAGGCATATTGTGAATTTTAGTTTAAGGTTAAAGATGTTAAATGAAACTAACTCAGTGTGTCCCTTGCTTCTTTTGACAAAAAATAAAACAAAAACACAAAGGGCCGGATTTATCAAGATCCAATTTTGCGTGCAGTAATTTGCGCTCGCAAACTGGAATTTTGCGCGAGGGGCTGNATTTCTCTATTAATGTTTGTTGGTACTGCGTAATGGTTACATCTATAGGTCCTTCTCAAAATATTAGCATTTTCCATAATGTAATGATAAAACTTGAGTATTTATATATTTTAGATTCATTGCACACTAACTGATCAGTTCTTTTATTGTCTTAATACGGATGATTTTGGCATACAGCTCATGAAAACCCAAAATTTCTATCTCACAAAATTAGCATGTTTCATCCGACAAATAAAAGAAAAGTGTTCTTAATACAAAAAAAGTAAACCTTCAAATAGTTATGTACCGTTATGCACTCAATACTTGGTCGAGAATCCTTTTGCAGAAATGACTGCTTCAGTGCGGCGTGGCATGGAGGCAATCAGCCTGTGGCACTGCTGAGGTGTTATGGAGGCCCAGGATGCTTCCATAGTGGCCTATAACTGATCCACAGTGTTGAGCACAGTGATACCAATGGTCAGTAAACCATTTAGCAGTGGTTTTGGCACTGTGAGCAGGTGCCAGGTCGTGATGAAAAATGAAATCTTCTTATCCATTTAGCTTTTCAGCAGATGGAAGCATGACGTGCTCCAAAATCTCCTGATAGCTGCATTGACCCTTCCCTTGATAAAACACAGTGGACTAACACCAGCAGCTGACTTGGCACCCCAGACCATCACTGACTGTGGGTACTTGACACTGGACTTCTAGCATTTCCTTCTCCCCAGTTTTCCTCCAGACTCTGGCACCTTGATTTCCAAATGACATGCAAAGCTGAGCAACAGTCCAGTGCTGCTTCTCTGTAGCCCAGTTCAGGCACCTCTGCTGCTGTTTCTGGTTCAAAAGTGGCTTGACCTGCACACACCTGGGCACGGTGGCTCTGGATGTTTCTACTCCAGACTCAGTCCACTGCTTCCGCAGGTCCCCCAAGGTCTGGAATCGACCCTTCTCCAGAATCTTCCTCAGGGTCCGGTCACCTCTTCTCGTTGTGCAGCGTTTTCTGCCACACTTTTTCCTTCCCACTGACTTCCCACTGAGGTGCCTTGATGCAGCACTCTGGGAGCAGCCCATTGGTTTAGAAATATCTTTCTGTGTCATCCCCTGTTGCTTCAGGGTGTCAATGATGGCCTTCTGGGCAGCAGGCAGGTCGGCAGTCTTACCCATGATTGGGGTTTTGAGTGATAAACCAGGCTGGGAGTTTTAAAGGCCTCAGGAATCTTTTGCAGGTGTTTAGAGTTAATTTGTTCTTTTTCATGATATTTCAGTTAGTGTGCAATGAATCTAAAATATATGAATGTTCAAGTTTTATCATGACATTATGGAAAATAATGAACTTTATCACAATATGCTAATATTTTGAGAATGACCTGTATATAACCAATTGACTATTTTTGAATTAAATCACATCACTGAAATGCACCTGCATTGTTTTGAATATGGACAGCCCACCTGCCTGCTAAGGTGAGCTGCAGGCAGCAGAATATGGAGGGGGAGGCTTTTGGTTGCATGCACACCAGGACTGCTGTTACAAAATAATGCAACCATTTTTGGCATTTATTTAATCACATTTAATTACTTTGACATAATTGTTTCATGTTACCAGGGTGGGACATAAAACAATTCCCTCAGCAAAAAGTAGTTTATTCAGGTATACCTAAAGTTAACTAATTTCATACTTAAAATCAGGCAGTGCACTTAGAGTTTACTTATTTTAAACTGTATTGCATATACTTAACAATGGTATAGTCAAGTGTACTTGACTATACTATTGTTTACTTTATTGTTTACTAAAGTATACTTTAAGTATACTTTAGTAAACTTAAAAATGTCCCAATTTTGTTCGAATAAGTATTATTTTAGTAATACTTCAAGTACACTAAAAGTGCATTGTTTGGTATACTATCTAAACTTATACTTATACTTAAGCATTCTTAATAGAATTTACTTCAAGTATACTACTTTCTGCAATGCGTTAAAGTAAATAAAGATGATTGATTAAATGCAAAAAGAAGAAGAGGTTGCATGATTTTTTTCAGTGTAATAGCAGGAGGAAAGAGAATTTCTGCATTCATGTCAGGAAAGCCAAGCATCTTGTTCCAGAATAAATTCAATTAGATAAAATTCCCCTATAGAAGCGTGTTAATTTGCTTTTATCTCTGCATGAAACGTGTTTTAAAACATGCACGCATGCGTAAATGTGTGTTAATAAGGCGCGAAGCAGTAATTATAGGAGTTGAACTAGTCTCCGGCCCTTCATGGACTCCTCCTTCCTCCTCCTCCTCCTCATCATCATCTTCTCCCTCCTCTCCTTTCTTCTCACTCACCTCCTGTTCCTCCCTGCTGCTGCTCCTTTCCCGCACATCAACAGTCCACGGCCCCGCCAGCCGCTGCTGCGCTCCTCTCTCCCTTTTTTCTCTTCTTCCATGATCTCCATCCCTCTTCCTCCCCCTTCCCCGGGCTGCGTCTCTGCCCGCCGGCGCTGCATCATCTGCATCCCTAACATGGGAGAACAAAGCTGTCCTTCTTCCATCTAGACGCGGAAAGTCGCACCTCACAGAGCCAAGGTAGGCTGGATGGATGAATGCATGGAGGGAAACCACTGAAGGATCATCCTCTGCATGGATGGAAAGATTTATTTTTTCCCCTTTTCTTCACTGTCTCTGTTGTGGAGGGAGATATAATGTAGGATATGTATTTTATCCAAAGCAAGGTGCGCAGGGGCGCATGCAGGGTTTCCATGACGGGTGCGGTATGTTCTCTGGCTGCTTGTGAAATCAGCTATAGATGTCTGTCAGCATTTACTATTACCAGATGAAAATGCAAAGCATTGATTTTTTTAGTTATTGTCCCATTTTATAAACTGCACCCTTCAGTGTAATAGACCTCTGTTAGAATAACTTTTACAATCAATCTGACATATGTCCCCACTGCAGCCCTACAAGCCTGTCTCTTACAGTAATTGTTTTTGCTGTTATTTTTATTTTTTTTAAGAGCAATGACAGGAAATCTGCTAAATTTCCAATAATTAACACGAATGCTCTATGCTTTAATCTTTGAAGTCCAGAGAACACCCAGTACCACATGCAGAAAACCCTGACTGCCCCAGCAATGAGTGAATATTAAAAACAAATCCATAAATAAAAGCTTAAACTAATAGTTGGGCTCATGCGATCGAGCACAAGGACAATACCCATTTGTTTGATTGACTATAAACAAAAACGTTAGAGACAAAACCAGGCAAAAAGGACTTACTGTATTAATAATTCTTCACAGTGGCTGTATGGGCAACCACTCAGGGAGCCATACTTTAAGGGGCGGCACAAGCGCTCAAAAAAAAAAAAACCCAGACTATATGATCTTGGACGATCTGTGTCCTGAACAATTTTTGTATTGCTATTTGCATGTCATTGAAATGAGGTGTCTAGTGTAAAAAAACAAAAAAACAAAAAACATTGTAGCTAACTAATGATACAGATTCAAAGCTTCTGAAACTCACAAAATAGATGTATTCATTATGAATAGAATAGAATCGAATAGAAAAGAAAATCCCTTTATTGTCCCACAATGGAGAAATTCTGGTGTTTACAGCAGCGAAAAGATGCTCACACAAATGTGGAATAACATAATAGTGAAGAGTTGAAAATATAAACAATAAAATGCTATAGAATATAAAAATATCCTATAAATATAAACAATAAAATACTGTACTGTAAAGTGTTTTAGCAATATAAAAACCGTGTACCTGGAGAATAATTAACCAATATCCAGCTATGGAGATTTTTTTTTACAGTAATGGATATTTGAAAATAGCAGCAACATCAGAGATGTGCAAAATTATAGCAGCATGTTGATTATGGTAGAAACTGTTTAAATTAGCATGAATGTAGCAACTAATGGAGGTTGTTGGGAACAGTGTTGGTTATAGAGGTTGTTATGCTTCTCAGTGGCTGCTATATGTACTGGTAATGTGGCGCCAGGTGTATTGTGATGTTAATTATCCTCACCTAGCCTAACTTGTGAGCAAGATTAATTGACGTGAGATGTGTGTATTCACAAACCCCACAAAACACATCTTTACAGAATCCAACAGATGTATTAGCCTTGAATATAGAAATGTCTCTAACCATTGAAATGCAGTGACGTGTATGACGTCAACCACAGGCTGCAGCAAAACAAACATGGCTGCTATGATGAGCATATCTGTAGACCCTCTATTTATCTTTTGAAAAATGAGCAAAAGGACTTGTGCATTTGTGGATTGGAAAGATTTTTGCGTGTTCCTCCTGATCAGATTTAGTCAGAGTTTAATTTATTAGTTAACCTTGCTGTTGTAAAACAAATTAAGAATGTGATACATCACAGCTGGTACTGCTGCTGTGATTGGTTTAAACATGGGAGGGAGGTGACACATGGAGATTTACCCAATCAGCTTAAAGAATTGAACTGAATGTTCCTCCCTTTTGCGAACATTTTCCACAGGAGACTTTCCAGATGGATACTGTGTAGAATTCAAATCGAACAACACCGATTGATCTGTTTTTTGCCAGGTTAGTTCCTCACTGCCTGAGGAGGAAAACATTTTTAAGAAATAATATTTTAGCACTAACAAACATTGATTAAATGATTGATAGACTTTATTGATGTCAGGTGGAGAAATGTACTTGTACCCAAGAGAAATTTCCCTATAGTGTAAACCTGAGTTCCATTTGTTAAACAATGAATATAAAACTACCACCTTATGTAAAAATAATAAAATATCAAAAAACATTAAACCTGATCTTGTGTCCCAATCTTAAAGTATCTTTTATTAGCATAGGCATCATAGGCATAATATTCATAAAACATAAAAACACAAAAGCATAACATTCAGAAAGCTATTAAATTATTTAATTAATATTATTAGAAATAGCTGACAATGAAACAAAATAAACAACTTTTTTTTTTGTTTCAAATTCGAATTATGTAAAGATGATCTTTAGATAAAAAACAATAGATGAGCGGATATTGATGCACATTTTGTTGTTGTCATCACAGAGTAAATAGTTAACAGGTAGTGAAAGTGCTGTTGGATATAGAGACTCAAATAGGTTCTATATATAGTCTGTAGATGGATTTATATTGAATGAAGACAGAGTGCTTTAGCAAGCATTACAATTCACTCCATCTTCATGTGAAAGTAGTGGAATAGATAGCTGAGGCATATTGTGAATTTTAGTTTAAGGTTAAAGATGTTAAATGAAACTAACTCAGTGTGTCCTTTGCTTCTTTTGACAAAAAATAAAACAAAAACACAAAGTGTTATGTTGTGTCTGAGTAGAAAAGCATGGCGTTTGCGCAGTTGCTGCAGATTCATTGAGTCTTCATACACAAAACTAAGCTTCCTTTTAACCATATCCTAAAGGTGCTCTATGTCAGTGATTCCCAACTTTTTGACTTGTGTACCGCTTTAGGCATTTTGTCTTACCGTGAGTAACCCCCTCAGTCAAAAGTATTGATGACTGTCCAAAAGTAGAACGTACAGTAACTAATTATAAAAACAAAAAGCATTTTACTAAGCTGAGAAGTTTAAGCTGAGAAGTTTTTTCTTTGGCATTTTAGTTTTCCAATTCAAAAGAAAGGAAAAGAGAAATATGTTTCCTGGACGTTAGTAAGGAATCGAAATAAATACAAAATAAAATCCTATTATAAACCTGTATTTATAAAACTTGAGCTCCTCTGAGTAACTCTTTTATAATCACATTTAAACTTGATGACTTGGGAACAAAATTCAGAACAAAAACTGTAGTCAGACTGACTTATTTGGTTTTACTTTGTTTTCATCAAGAAGCCTAAGCTTGCTTGATGAGCTCTGGTTGCTCAGTGTGAAAAACAGCTGATCCCAGGCTGTTCTCTACATCCAGGCTGCTCCTCTGCTTGGTTTTGGTGAACTCAAACATATACGTAAAACTTATTATCACTTTTTTGTTTGTTAAAAGGCTTTTTTATTTTTTTTTTTTTATTGGGTCCTCACAAAGCAAAACAGATCCCAGCCCTATTTTATTTTACTACCTGATAAATAAAATATTTTCATGTACCCCTTGTAAAGCACTCACGGACCACTAGGGGGATGAGTACCCCCGGTTGGGAATCACTGCTCTATTGGACTGATTTCAGACATTGAAATGATTTTCATCTTAAAGAAAGCAGTTTGGGCTGATTTAAGCTTTGTGTTATTATATACTGTTGCCACCAGAAGATGGGAACACTGTTTTCCTAAAGGAATGCAAAGGGTCTGCAACAACATTCAGGAACTCTGTGGATATATTTTTATTTTCCAATGGAGGCTAAAAGTCCAACCCCTCCACCCGCAATGCAGCATTCAACATGCATCCTAAACTTTTTTGCACAAGGGGATGCATAATTTTTTCTGTCACTGCTAAATGGACTTAATTGCAGCTGAAATTAAGACACATAAGACGAAGTCTGTCCATTTTTGGTGGATCTGTTTTGCACTAAACTCCCAGTTTCCGTTATGTTGTTCCTGTTGAATTTGTTTTATGCTTTGGCCCATTGTCTTAATACTTTTGTGTATTGGACATTAAGTCATGGTGTGCAGAATAGTGACTGGTTGTAACGAGTGGTACGTTGAACCACTATCTCTTCGAAATAACTGAAATTGGACCATTCTTCTCTGGCCTCTGTTGTCAGCCATTTTTTTCTTTCCCATTCTGATGCTTAGTATGAACCTCAGTAAGTCAGGCTGACTGTGTCAAGACGTCTGGTTAAAAAACAAATTAAGTTGTGGCCATTATGTAATAAAACCTGCAGTCAAATCTTGCATTAGCATTAGTACCGCACTAGTCAGGCTTTTCTCCAAAAATGCATTGTTGTGGTTAATTACTGGGTCTTCCTTGGTCCACTTTTGATAGATGCTGCTCCCTTGAGATTAGAAACACCTCCCAGGAGCTGCCGTTTTGGAGGTGGTTTGATCCATTTGCCTACTGTGGGATATTCTTGTGCCACATTAAATGGGTTTAGAGCCTATTTTGTAATTGCAGATTGCTTTGTGTCATTTGGTAATTTCAGATCTGGGTGATCAAAATAAATTGAGGTTCACATATATGATTCCAGTAGCTCAGATTAAAAACCAACAACCTCATGCCTCTGTGCCACTGCAGTATCCCAGTCAACCACACACACAGAGTCAGTATGTTTTGAATATTAATAACTGGCCAGATTAAGATTTCCTCCAGTTCAATGCAGGCAATTATTTTGGTTCCAAAAATGAAAGGATCAATATAAGCGCTCAACTAAATCAATGTGTGTATTTTTGGAGATTGCTTTCCTTCCAAAAACATACTATACTCCTTCTATATATGGGAGAAAGAACAGTGGAGGGAGTAATGAGCTAATTGGGAGCAGGGGTTGACAGAGGCAGCTAGAAAGGAGCTAGGGGGAAAGGAAAAGGGGCAATAGAGGGCAACAAAGAGTAACCAGCTTTAACTGTAGCTAGGAAAGAACTTGGCTGAGGCTAAATGGGAATAAAACTGACTGCAGAATAAGGAATGAAAATTGGAGGATAAGAGAAGGGACTGAGCCATAGAATACATAACCATAGAAGGATAAAAGAAATAATAACTTTAACTAAAATTAGACCAAAGAATAAATAATACCAAAAAATGCTGAAGAGAAACTAAGAATTCAAAAATTATATAAATCTTTAAGGTATAGTAGAGGATTTTTTCTGTGTTGATCATCAAAATAAATGGTCCTCCTAATTGTCAATCATTCTGGTGATATGTCTACGTAAAGCCATCCTACGTGCTCGTACCCATTTTCACTTACCAGTGGCGAGTCTGACATAGTGGAAAAAATGCAAATCTTCTTTTGGAAGGTAAGCTTTTATGAGCTATGCAAACAGCAATTTTTAAATAGAGCGTGCACAGGAGAAATGGGCTTGTGCACGCTCTTGCACGCGTTTAATAGGCGTTCCCTCTTGGGAGTGGGTACAGGGTTGTGCATGTGCCTTTTTTTTTAAGTTGAGAGGATGGGTCTTTTCAAAAAATTTGAGAAAATCCTCCACTTTATATACATACTATACTATAGTAAAAACAGAATAACATAGATCCAAGCCTAACTGAAAACCCACAGTGAAAAATATTGGTAGATCATGTCACAGTCAGGAGACAATGTTCTTTCAAGACCAACACCAGGTAAAAGGATCATATCGCTCCCTTTTGTATAAGAACAGTTTGAAATTCTTCTAAAACCTTTAAATCCGCACTAAAACATCACTGTTTTGCTGCTGTCTTACTGTCTTTTCCTTGATATCTTGAGAAGATCTCCTGATTGCCTTTTGTGTGTTAATATTTAAATGAATACATTTTCTTGCCAACAGAATCAAGCGTTTGTCTAAATTGTTCACATGTTTTTGTATGCTTATTAAAAAGGTGCAGAGATGAAGAGGTAAACAGTGCAGTTCTCTTTGGATGTTTATGAGATTCCATCATTATTGATTGATGACGCCTGAATATTTTGCCTGTGATCATTTATGTGTGTGGGTTTCATTTTCAGACGGGGGGCACAATGAGTGAGGAGCCGCCGGTCTCCCCGAGCTGGTTGAGCCCTGATCCCACAGAATGGGCCAGCGGGGGACCGATGGACAACAGCACCAGCTTGGGGATGTTCCCAGTGGAGGACTCCCCCCTGCCGCCCAGCCAGCTGCCGCTACTGGTTAACCCTTGGGACATCGTGCTGTGCTCGTCAGGGACTCTCATCGCCTGTGAGAACGCCTTGGTAGTGCTGGTGATCTGGCAGAACCCTGCGCTCAGAGCTCCCATGTTCCTTCTAATCGGCAGCCTGGCTCTGGCAGACCTGCTGGCCGGCCTAGGCCTGGTTCTTCACTTCACCTGTGCCTACTTACTCCGCTCTGAATCAGCCCAGTTGCTGACGGTGGGTCTGGTGGTGGCGTCCTTCTCTGCCTCCGTCTTCAGCCTGCTTGCTATCACCATCGACCGCTACCTGTCGCTATACTACGCCCTGACCTATAACTCGGAGCGGACAGCGGCCTTCACCTACACCATGCTGCTGCTGCTGTGGGGTCTCTCCCTGTGTCTCGGCCTGCTGCCAGTCACCGGGGTCAACTGTCTGGATGAGCAGGCCACATGCAGTGTGGTGCGGCCACTGACGAAGAACAACATCGCAGTTCTGTCCATCTCCTTCCTGCTGCTGTTCGGCCTTATGCTGCAGCTTTATGTACAGATCTGCAAAATCGTCATGCGCCACGCCCACCAGATTGCCCTCCAGCACCATTTCCTGGCTGCCACGCCTCACTACGTCACTACGCGGAAGGGCGTGTCGACCTTGGCCATCATCCTGGGGACCTTTGCAGCCTGCTGGATGCCTTTCACCGTCTACTCCCTCATTGCTGACTACACCTACCCTCCATTGTATACTTACGCCACACTGGTACCTGCCACCTACAACTCGGTCATCAACCCGGTCATCTACGCCTTCAGAAACCAGGAGATCCAGAAAGCGTTGTGGCTGGTGTGCTGTGGCTGCATTCCGACAAGCGTGGCGCACCGTGCTCGGACACCCAGCGACGTGTGACAGCTGCAGGCCAAGATGGGACAACATGAGGCAGTCTGGGTTAGCTCTGCTCCTCACTGGACACATGGGTGTCACAAGGAGGGCAGCAGAAAAGGGCTGTGGGTGCAGCTCTGTCTGGAGATGCAACAGCCCACGGTTTCTCCCTGTCTTCCCTACTCAAGGCCAAGAAGGTGGGTTGCATCCCACCCACTCCAGGCACGCCCCTTTCTTATTTCTGCAGAAAGTGTATCCTGTGGTCCATGCAGCAACTGTGCACCTAAACCAGGCACACAGTCAAAGCTCTGTAGCTTTAATTGTTATCATGATCAGAATGATCATCCTGTTTTGCAGCGGCTGAGCAACAGTCAAAGCCCGTCTGAGGCAGCCTGCAGGAGCGTCCTGCTCTGTTGCTGCTGCACTCTGGACGTGCGACGAAAGCTGAGCAGCCGCGGGGAGCTAAAAATAGACCTGATGCTCTCTGATCCGCTCCACAGACGCCGGGGAAGAAATCTAGCCTGTATTTCTCCCTGCCTCACCCCCCCTCCCCACTTTCTCTCCTCTGGCTGTAGATGCGTGAACGCACCAAAAGAAGAAAAGGCTCCAACCAGACCTGCCATAGCATTACCAGTCTTCTGCATTACTGTTTCTATATATACCAAACCAAAAACAAGCCAATCAGATTATCTCATAATGCTTCTCATTATTACCTTTGAAATATTAAAACACTAATTTCAAATCCCATCATCCAAAGTAAGCCAAACAAGCTAAAATGCTTGTTTTTTTAATCAGAAATCTCACTGGACTCACTTTACATTTAGTTTGTCATTTATATAAGACAAAATTTCACCCTCAGATTGATTTATCACAATGTTTTATTCAAATGAAAGCCCCCAAAATAAAGCTTCCATGCCGACCTGCCTCTGGTGACATCACAGAAAGAATAAGACAGCTACCTGGACTTTAGCTGAGTTCATCTATTAAAATTATTACGTTCTTCCCTCTATTTTCATGATTTCTATCCTCAATCAACAGATGGTCAAACTCCTTGCAGCTCAGTCATCTCTAAATGTTCATTTTCGCAGTATTTGCTTATACCAGCTGTCTAGCCTGGTTCTTGTGCCTCTTGTGATTTCTTCAACCCATACACAAAATATCAGCGCTGTTTTTAAAAACAAAACCCACCTTTTTACTACTAAGTGTTCTTATTTTGAGTGTAGAGTGTCATAAACAACAAAACCAACTCTAAACAGCCTCTTTAAATAAAGGAATTAGCTGTGATTTGCATGCATCTAGCACAGTTCAGTGGGGTAGGTCTCGCAGGCCCCTGCAGGCTATGTGCTGTGGATGCCTGACATCATCGTGACCCAAATAATTTTATTTATGTACCTCATGAACATGTTCTGCATCATAAGAGCTGAAACTGTTGCACAAAGGTCACAGGAGCTGTTTTGTTTTGCTTTTCACATGACTATACCTTGCAAAAGTTTTCACATTTTTTAAAGTTTTTCCCAATTTATCATATTTCAAAATTAGACTTTAATGGCTGTGGTTGAGCTTTTATGTGGCAGAGAAGGACTAGTGCAAAAGAAAATGCATATACATGTTTTTATTGCGGCATGTATTAAAAAGACAATCTTTGACGGCAAATACAGCTGCAGGTCATCGTGGGTTTGTTTGGGATCCTTGCTGCTCTGCCTTACTTTAAAATCATTTGCACATTAGTGCAAAATATGTTTTTTTGCAGGATTGTCTTTTATTTAGCTCTGTCTATGTTCCCTCAAAGTATGATGCTACCACTGCCCTGATTCACTTTAATGATAGTGAGTTGAGGGTGATATGCAGTGTCAATTTCATATTTTGTACCACAAAAAAATGTAGTTTGATCTACCCTGATCTACTAAGTGATTTCTGAAGACACCAAATTTTATTCAGGGATATACGAGATATACTACATTTCTGTACTATTCTGATTTTATATCCAGTAAAATCCCTATAAAGACTCTGCAGACTAGAAAAACTTCAAGAGGTGTGAGTTTGCTTGCAAGGTACTGTATGTGATGAAGAGCAGTCCTATCACTTCCATGCTGCTCTGAGTTAAAGTCTCCAACCGTCTGTAGGTTCTCTGCACCCCTGCATCATTTCAGCAATAACTAGCCTGAATGGTAGTTATTTTTTAGATGTAAAGCAATACTCAGACAGCAATAACATCTGCGTTCCACGAAGCACCACACAATGTTAGGAGGCGGGCTTTGAGAGCCAAAGTGATAGATACTAGAATGAAGGTTGGGTCACTCACACCCAGATCAAACTGCTTATTCATCCCGGAAATACTACTGCCTCATTTCATCCAGAACAGAGTTATGATCATTGGCACACCAGGAGCAGAACTGTGATCAATGCCTCTGCCTTTTCTGAGCGAATACGGTGTCCTGGGCGTTAAATAAGAAAAAAAAAAAAGCTTTTCTTTTTGTGTGTGTGTGTGTGTGTGTGTGTGTGTCAGGTCTAATTTGCATGGCGTTCTGAGTGTGTGCACATGTGTGTAGTATTATGTGTCTAATATGTTTCTGACACCCTTGACCTTAGAGGTTTACAGTCAGTCTTCCTGTCGGTTCTGAGGAAAGTGGCCTCGTTCCATGTTTCTTGGCGGTAGATGGGACCGGGATGTTTGGTGCCCCAGCACTTCACGCCAAAGGGAAAACAGACTCTGAATGAACTGTGATTCCCCATCCTGCCGTGTTTTCTTCTGTCGCTTGTTGTTAAATCAGTCTGGCTGAGACAGGTGTCTCTTAAGTGACCTCTGAATGACCCTTTTAGCTAAAAATGGCTTTTTGCAAAAACAGAAATTAGGTTTGTATTTATTTTATTTGAATTTTACTCAAGCCGAGGCTCTCAGAGACAGCACAGCGACTTCAAGCCTTCATATTTTAAAGTCAGAACATTTGCTTGGAAAATAAAAGACATTTCTAATCTAGAAATGTACCCTGCAGGGTTCATGTGTGCAGTGGCAAGTTCAGTCCTTTAGATTCTTCATGTCTTGCAAAAGTATTCACCATAGATTTTAGAAAGTTTATTGGCATTTTATTTAATAAAGTCTAAAGACTTCGTATTTAACTTTATTTGAAACATGGTTGGATGTTTTTGTTCCAGTGAACTTTAAAGGTATAATGGAGGATGTTTGTTTCCAGGAGGATCATCAAAATAAGTGGTCCTCCTAATTGTCGATCATTCTGGTGATATGTTTACGTAAGGCCGTCCTACGTGCTCCTCCCCATTTTCACACGCCAGTGGTGATGCCAACATAGTGGAAAAAATTGGCATTGTTTTTTTGAAAAGTAAACTTGTACGAGCGATGCAAACAGCAACTTTTAAACAGAGCGTGCACGAGGAGAAATGGAATCATGCACGCTCTCACACGCGTTTAATAGGCGTTCCCTCTCAGGAGCGGGCACAGTTATTTATGTGGCCTTTTTTTTTAAGTGGAGAGGGCGGGTCAAAAATTCACAAAAATCCTCCACTATATTTTTAAAAGTCAGTTATAAAACGATACTCTGTGTAGCACTATTTAAAAAAGATTTTGAATGAGCTCCATTGTTTATAAAAGGCCTTATTTGTTATTAAAGTCTTCAGTCTTTAATTGCATTGTTTTACTGACAGCAACAAACGGCTACAGTTTAGACCAACCCAAAGTCTGCAGCCATCAGGTTCGCCTCCATTTAGCTCTCCCCCTCTTCCCATCAGTTTTGATGGGCTTACTTGTCTGGGGCAGAAGATCACACAGCATGACACTGCCTCCACCGTGTATGATGTGCTGTATTTTCTGTCATGGTGATTTTCTCCCTCCTGAAGGGAAAAAGGGGAGCGGTGACTTAGTGGTTATAGCATTGCGTTCAAGTCCCAAAGGTTCTCAGTTCAAGTCCCATACACTCCCACGGACTGCCACTCTGGCTCCCTGAGCAAGACTGTGGCATCCCACTGCTCCCAAAAAGGGGAATTTCCCCAATGTGGGACAATAAAGGATTTACAAAATGCCATGCATCATTTTGCTTCTACTTCCTAATGCTTTGTCATGTAAAATCCCAAAGAAACGCAATGAAATTTGTGGTTAAATCACAACTAAATGAGCACTGCTGGATGTTTTTGCAAGACAATGCAGGTCAGACTGGCACATAACCAAGAAAAATATCTTTTAGTTTATTTTGTCATAGTATCTCAGAAGCTTTTTGCTCCTTTCAGCTGTTTGATGTCGCGCTGTAAAGCCTTTCTCTGAATGTAGTATCTATAAAAGTCCTCCTCTTGAGTTTTGTCTCTGTAAATACGGCCTGCTGAAAAGGAGGGGGACTTCTTACCACCATGCATGGTGCTACCAAAGCTAGTCCGTCTGAGAGGAGGAGCGCAGTTTCACCATTTTATCTGTAGATGTTTGGATTGATTTCCTCCCTTCGATATGCAGTAGATTTTATTTTTGACTTTGCTTCGTCATGCTTGGACTCTGACGGGGCACAATGTTTAGGAAGCAAACTGACAGACAATAGGGGAATATGAATTTCTTGTTGCAACTCAATTGAGAAATCTTTTATTGCTGATCATTTGAAAAAGGGCTTTGTATCCAGGAAAGGTGACAGACTAAAAGGTTGGGTGTATTTTTTTTTATCACACCTGTTTATCTGTTTAATGCAATTTATTTTGTAATAATGCACAAAGATGTAAACAAAGTTGTTTTATATCAGTGGCAAGCTGTTGGACCAGCAGGACGAGGTGTCCTTTCTTTGTGATGGTTACTATTTTAGAGCTAAATATCAAAACACTCAAGGGCCTGTGAATGTGTGTGTCAGAGTGAAAGTGTTTTTTTTTTGTTTGTTTTGAAGATAGCGATGGGGTTGAAGTCACAGTTAGAGCATCTTGTGTAGACGTAACTGTCAAATGTGAAATGCACTTTATTTTTTTGGCGGGGAGGGATTAAAATGGCACAACGAATAATTTATCTGCAAAACAAAACATATTAACGATAATCAACCTGCACTAATTTAACTGGAATATTGTTAAAAAAAAAGATGTTTGTGTGAACGTGGTGTCTATTTTTCCAAGGTGTTTTATTGCTTTGGTTAGTGCACTCTACTGACAGATCTTGTTAATTTTGTATTAAAGACAAACATGTGCTGTGCATAAAAACTCCTGCCTCCACTGATTATTTTAGCATTTGTTTCCCATCCTTCGCCGAGGCTCACTGCTCTCTTTTTATGCTCTCTTCTGTTTCCTTGGCAACTCCCTTCATAGCAGCACTGTTGCGATGGAAACCGAAATCCTGCAGCCAGGTGTGTGTGTTGCGTCTGTGATGAGAGCGGAGCATTGAAGAGACGTGACAGATCAGCAGCGATCCTTCATTCATGATTTTATTTCTCTTTGGGGTCAGAGGTTATAGAGTTACAAATTAGCCCCATATACACATACACACCACAGACACACACATCAGGAATAGATTGCAAATGCAACTGGCTCATTTGTGAGAAAACTTTTCCTGTATTTAATCAAACTACAATAAAAAGCTGTAGCTTTTAATTGTATTTTAAGTGATAGGCCAACACAAAGTGGTGCAATCATCAGGAGAAAATTAAGTAAAATTAAAAGCTAAAATCTAAAAAGCTGATACCAAACATGTGGATAACATTACTATTGTCAGAAACTACAGGAATTAAACATGTTGGCCTAAACCCAGGGAGCATCCCTATAGAAAAAATGGTGGTGGAAGCATCATGCTGTGGGGGAGCTCATCTAAACAAAGATGGTTTTACAACTAGCCCTAAATTCAATCCTGTTAACGCCACCATGGTTCTGAAACACGGTAGTGAAAGCATCATGCTTTTCCTCTGTACAGACAGAAAACCTAGTTTAATGAAGCAGGTAGAGACACATGCTGAAAAAACTCCCAACAAAAGTCGATTATGAAAAACTTAGATTTCTATTTTTAAAGAAATAAAAAAATTTAAAAGGTTTTTTTTGTCATTACGTTTCACTACTTTGTGTTGGATTCTCACACGACTCTTATAAAAAACGTAAAAGTCTGCAGCCTTAACCTGGAACGAAATATTGATAAAGTCCAGAAGGAATGAATACTGTGAGCACCTGTGGGCTGGATACTTCCAAGTCGGGTTATGTGGATCTGCGGTCAGTATCTTTAGTAGCAGAAATATGTCAGAACCGTTTGGAGTTAAAGAAAAAGCATTTTAGATCCACTTATACTACTTCTAGGCCAACGACATCTGATAATTCCACATGAACCCGCTTGAAAAAAGCTGAAACGCTCCTTCCAAACTTCCACTAATCTTTTCCTATATATATATATATATTTATCTACAACTTAAAGAGTTACCTGAGGATCTAACATACGCAGGTAATTCAGTAAAACCACCATAAAAAAAGTACATAGGTTAGCTCAACATGAAGGTTTCTAATCATCCTAAAACTTTCAAGCTCTGACTATACAGGAAATAACTTCACATTGTTTGTTACAGTGTTAGAGAAACATCAACTGGGGTGTATTCACAATGATTTAAAGTATTATAATGAAGCTGAGTGGTTAACAGCTTTGCTCGTTAATGGAGTTTATGTACAGTATTTTTGCACATAGCCCAGAATGTTCCAGTTTTAGACCTTATAGCTTATATGAGCCCTATAGGATGTGATTGTGTTCGGGTGCAGCTTCTGTGTTTAACAGCAACAAAGTCTCAGGTGGTCTGTGGTTGTGTCACAGTGGGAGTTCTCCAGGGTGAGCGAGAGATTAACCGTGTTTCAGTAGCTATCCTATGTTTCTATCTTTATTAATCTGACCAGTCGTTCTCCTCCAACTCTGAGTCGTCTTCCGAGTCGGAGTATTCCACGGCGATACGCCGGGACAGAATGGTGGCCACGTCGTTTCCAACAGGTTCTCTCTTCGCCTGCTGCTCCTGTTGCTCCTGCACCTTCTTTAACTGGATGCCTGGACATGGAAAAGCATTTTATTTTATATCGCACCTTTTATGTTTTTCTACAATATCAATTAAATGTGGGCTTCCCAGACATTTTAGCCTGTGACCCCAAAAATAATGCATCAGACTAGCAACCCCTAAAAAATACATGAAATGATTTCATTCTCTTATTTTTAGAAATATAAAGTAATTATTTTCTTTTTTTAATGTGTTTTTTTGTGACCTTTATTTGTATTGTTTAT